TAATCTCAGTACTGGCAAAAAAGGGAAAAAAAGACTGTAAGTCAAAACTGCACTTATTACACTCAGCCTAAAGAGTATTACTGAGCTTAGCTATGCAGGACACTGGAGAATAAAGGTTCTTTCTATGACTGACTAAGAGCTGCTAGTTTCTGTTATTTCCCAGCATTCAGAATCATGTTATGCTGGGTTTATCTGTAGTAGATGCTGATCAATACTGTGGAGAAAATCAAGCAGGGAAGGTAGGTGAGGGGAATTTTAAGAATGGTATCCAGCTGACTTCTCTTGGATGAAGACCCTGAATAAGGGGAAGGTAGTGTTCTTGGATAGCTCAAGGAAGATTGATGGCAAAAGTCATGGGAATTAGATGAAACGTAAGCCACAAGACCAGATGAGGGCACTATAGCTTACAAGGAGAGCTTCTAGAAAGCCTAAGAGCTCTACCTTTAACCTTGTTCTTGGTTCCAAATCACTACATTTTTTTTTAATGCATGAAGTCTGGCATGGCATTTTTCTACAAAAATCACTACCTTGATACAATATTTAAAGTAAATGTAATTATAATATTGTTCTAAATATAATGTTTACATTTCAAGCTACTCAGGAGGCTGTGATATGAAAATCATAGTTCAAAGCCAGCCCCGAAAGACAAATCTGTGAGACTCTTATTTCTACTTTAACTGGCAAAAAGCCAGACTCAAGGAATGGTTCAGGTGGTAGAGCACCAGCTATGAGTGGAAAATCACAGTGAGTGTGAAAAGCCCTGAGTTCAAGTTTTTGTTTTATTTTAAAATAAAATAAAATAAAACAAGTGTCAGTAAAATTTAATTTCTTCTAAATGAAATCTAAGGTTTTATGAAGTTCTTGGTCTTTTCATTCAACTAAAAAAAAAAGAAAAAAGACTGCTTCTGTAAAGCCTGTGCTTAGGTATTTCTACTCTTGTTTCTAAGTAACTGGCTCTATTTCCTGTGTGGTGGCATTGGATACTAAAGGCTTCATTTAACATGGGCACTGTGGAGATCTAAATATTCCTGCCTCAGTCAGAGTACTATATAAGTGGCTTTGGAGAAAGAAGAGATGCCCAGAAGCTATAAAGCCAATCGATAGCTCACTGTTTGTTATATTTTAATCCACCAAAAGAAATAAAACACACAAACACACAATACCTAGTACTTAGCATCCAGGCAGTAGACTGATTAGCTATTGATTTTTTTCCCTCCTTGTTACAGAGGAAAGATAGGCTTTTATTGAAATCCCCGTGTTGTCCTGCTTGATAGGACTGTGTGAGGAAAAGAAAAGTGTATATGGAAAGGGGAGTTTGACCCTTTGAGCTAATGACTTAGTTTAAATAGTTTCACAAATCAAAATTGCAAGTTTATTTCCTCCCTTATTATGAATGGTAAGTATGGTGCAATTGTATTTATGAGACACAGATTTGAAGTCTGATCGCCAAGAAAATTACTTGAGTTTTCATTGGAAGATCTGAGGGATGTTGTGAAGTGGGAGGAAAAAAATATGCCTGCTTCCTGCATCATGAAAGGTTCAGTATATCCCTCCTGGTCTTCCATCTGCCTCCAGAGGGAGTCTTGTCCCTTTGGTCACTCATTTCTCTCTGTCCCTTAGAGATGCAGAAGAGCTATGCCTTTGCCCCATGGTTGTGCCAGCTTCCCGTTGCTCAGCTCCAGTTGCTGTATAATGACACCTGTTGCATGTGGTCAGGCTGTGGACTCTGTACCCTGCTTAGCAACCATACAGGAATGAGCTCCTGGATTCCAGATGCCTACCCATGGGGACAGTAGTTAGTAGGGGCTTAGGCCATTTCACAGGAGGTCTCTGTGCAGGAATCCCTCTCCAAGAATCAATCAGCTTGGGCCCAAGTGTCTTCCTGCCTGCAGAGAGGGGCCCTCATCATTTGATCTTCCAGACTCAGGAGGCCTCTTGAAGGTTCGAGTCCACTGGTTCACATATAGTTCCCATTCCAGGGGGCCATCTGCAGAGGTTTCCTTGACTCCTTTCCCTGGATTCCCTGCCTCCGGCTCTCCCCTCTCTGTGTACAACATCTTCATTGCCTGTTAAGTCTTGGCTCAAGGGATGCCTTCCCAACCCCTCCTACCATGGCCTTCCACTTAAAAGTCAGAACCTTAAAATGGATATCAATATGGAGAACCAAAAGAAACCCTTATCTCATGCTATATATAAAATCCAACACAAATGCATTGAATACTTAATCATAAAACCTGACACTATATAACTTCTTGAAGAAAAAGTAAAGGAATATCTATATAGCATTTTTTGTGGAAATGATTTCTAAATTCGACTCTAAAACTAATAGACAAAAATAGGCAGATGGAGCGACATCAGACTAAAAAGGCTTCTGCACAGCAAGGGAAGTAATTAAATGAATAAAGAGGCCACCTATGGAGTAGAAGAAAATATTTTCAAGGCATTGATCTGACACTAGGTCCAAAATATATAAAGAAACAAGAAGCTAACCTGTTTTAAAAGATATGATAATTTCTCAAAGAGGACATATAAATAGCCAATGGGCATATGAAAAATTCAAATTACTAATCATTAAAGGAATGTAAATCAAACCACAATATTATCTCACTGGTCAGAATAGCCTGATATAACAATGATAGAAGATAAATATTGACAACAATATGCAGAAAACGGACACAGACAGCTTGTACACTGACTGTGGGAATGTAAATCAGTGCACTCATTATGGAAAACTGTATGAAGAGACTAAGAATAGAATTGCCTGTGTGATCCAGCAGTCCCACTCCATAGATGCAAAGTGTTGAAATAAGTCTTCGCAAACACATGTGCACCAGGCCTATGTTCCTAGCACTATTCACAGAAGACCAGATATGGTTCAACACAAGTGTCCATCAAGGAAGGATAGATACAATCATGGTACAAAATAGCATGCTATTGACAAACGGAAATGACATCATCTGTGATAACATGGAAGGAACTGGAGGAGGGAATGCTATGAAATGAACCAGGCAGAAAGGGACAAATTATGTAGGATATCATTTATATGTAAAAGCTAAAGCAAAAGAACTCTTAGAATCAGAGTAGAATAACAGCAGTTGGGGGATGGGGGTTGGGAGAAATGGGTACACATTTACAGTAGGTGGGAGGAGGTAGGTGAGATTTATTGCACAGCATTCTGCATTTTACATTTCAAAATTGCAAAGAGGATAAAGTTTCAAATGTTCTCACGCCAATAATGGTAAGCATTGAGCTGGGTGTGGTGGCACAGGTTTATAATCCCAGCATTTGAGAGCACGTCAAGTTTAAAGCAAGTGATACAGAGCTACAGAGTGAGACTACCTCAAAAACAAACAACATGTGGGTGTTGGTGGTGCTCACACCTGTAATCCCAGCTACTCAGGAGGGAGAGGTCTGAGAAGCACAAGTCAAAGCCAGCCCAGGCTGAAGAATCTGTAAGACTCCTATCTCCAGTTAGCCAGCAAAAAAGCCAAAAGTGGAGCTATGTCTCAAGTGGTAGAGCACTAGCCTCTGAGCAAAAACACTAACGGACTGTGCCCTGGCCCTGAGTTCAAGCCCCAGTACTGGCACAAATAAACCCCAAACCAAACAACAAGCAACAACAACAACAGAAAAGAGGTAGGTATTTGCAGTATTTAAGGATTGGCTGATTAGAGAAATTTAATTATTTCATATTGTATAATATTATATCATTTTCCACCTCATGAATACATACAATTATGACTTAGTAATATCCAACAAAAATAAAGTTATGGCTTTTTTTTAATCAGTTGTGGGGCCTGAACTCTGGGCCTGGGAGCTGTCCCTCAGCTTTTCAGATCAAGGCTAGCGTTCTACCACTTGAGCCTCAGCCCCACTTCTGGCTTTTTCTGCTTATGTGGTGCTGAGGATTCAAACCTAGGGCCTCATGCATGCAAGACAAGCACTCTACCACTGAGCCACCTTCCCAGCCCCAAAGTCATGGCCTTTTAATACTACGTGAATCACAAAATGTCATATTCTATGGGTCATACATGTACATATATACATATATGTGTATGTATATACGTACATACATACACATACATCTATAAAAGCCCAAAGAAGGGGATCCATAGGCAAAAATCAGCTTATTGGCTGTCAGAGGCTGGAAGGAGGAGGACAGAAACACATTAGTTAGTAGAAATGAGGGTCTATTCCTCTGGAATAGTGAAAAGTTTTGGAATTGACAGGTGGTGACTAAATGACAGTAGAAATACACTAGATGCCATTGAATTTGTGCATTTTAGAATGACTGATCTTATGTGAATTTCACCTCAGTTTAAAAATGTCCAACTTCTTCATTACAGCCTCCTTTATCAGTTCCATTTTCCTCTCAGATCCTTCTAACAGATATCATGGGATTATTATTGTAGGTCTTTGCTCTCTCCAATATAAACTCCACAAACACAGGGGGATAGCTATCTGTTTCACTCATTGGTGGAAATATCAGTACACAGAACAGGAGTGGAACAAAGCTGGCTATGGATAAATATTTGCTGAATGAATCTGAGAAGACGTTACCTGTTCAGTACTTCATTAACAAAAGATCCTCAGTATTTCTTGGGACAATTTTTTAAGAAATTAGGGTTAAGGATCTGGTATGATCTCATCTAAAATAATTGAACTAGAAAGGAAGGAAAGAAGCAGACTTCCTAGAGGAGTTCTTGGTTCACCACCTGGTAAGCAAACAAACAACTTGACAAAGATCCAGAAGGCTGGGACAATAGGAATAAGTGCTGGGCACTGTGGTTATTTTTAATTTGTGAGGATAGGAATTGTCAACAAACTTTCCTTTTCTCTAAATTCTAAAAGATCAGTTAATGCACTGGATTTAGGACTGAAGGAGAGCTGGACAACACCACTTTCCTATAACTACACTGTTTTCTGCACACACTCATGCTCAGCATGCAGGATCAATGACATTCTCCCAGGAGAAAATGCTTTCACTGAAGATAACTTACCTATGAGTTCCTTATTTCTGACGTCCAAGGCCATGTTCCGGAGTGCTGTGGCCACTGCACATACCACACGGTCATTATCTATCCGGAGCAGCTCCACAAGAATAGGCAGGCCTTTTTCCTTTCGGACAGCAGCTCGGATATATACTGACCACTGCCAAAAGAGGGAAGGCAAAGGACATTAGGAACAGAGGTGGAAACCTCTATGGGCAAAACATATGGGAGGGTTGTCGGACGGCAGCTCGCAGGAGCCAAAATGGTTGGATTATCAAGACCTAGTTGTAGAACAGCTGAATATGTTAGACATGCATGAAACACTTTAACATTATTAATATTTTTTGATAGAGGTTTTAGGGTTAATCCATGAACCACACTTCGTTTCTCTTCTGACTGTGTTATGGGTACTTGTGTTTGAGATGGGTGGATGGGGCACTTTAAGATGTGGAAGCTGGGACAGCAGAGTTTTCCACTGATATTAAGAGGAGGTAAAAATGTACCACCAATTGCAGAAAGTGACTTTATACAAGAGCTCTGAAGGTGGTGGCTGGGCACTGCCATCATCTGCCAAAGAGGCAAAGGGTATATCCTTTGCCTAACAAGAAAGAGTGAATATAACCACCATGGGCGAGCCTTATAGTCTTTCGAAAAAATAATATATGAATGTATTATATCCAGGACCCCAATTCAATGCCTTATTTGTAAAGTAAGACATACAGTGTGTTTTGATTTTGTGGTTCCTGACCACATTGCACACAGCAAATGCTTCATATTAAAATTTAGGCAGGTCAAGCACTCAGGTTCAGAATGAAGGCTAGGTCCAGTTCCTCCAGCATACACACATGGTTTACTTAGGTTATATTATTCTACAGTGTCCCCAATTTTGCCACTGAAAAATGCACAAATGTAAGGGTTTGATCTGAAAAAAAAAAGAAGATTCACGGAATGCGGTTTCTGGATTTGGAGGGAGAGTTCTCATGGGGATCAGTCCTTCCCGCCCTCCCCCACAGGCCCGCTCCACCCCCTCCCCCACGGGGGCAGGCACCCCAGAGCTGGCTCTCACCTGTGGCAGGCAGGGAGCCCCCTCTGGCAGTGAACGTAGGGCATACGCCATGCCTGCCACATCCTCAGCCCAGCCCTGCATGAAATATGAGATTAAAAAAAACAACTTCATCCCATCCTAGTCAGAAGTCACGTTCACATAGCTTCTTATCACCATCATCCCATAACACACACTTTTTTTCTCCTGCTCCTTTTTGTGCCTCAAGCTCAGGAAGTCTGAGGGAAGGGCTGAGCGATCTGAACTCACTGAGGTGCGTCTGGGCTGCGGGAACAGTCTGACAGCCCCAGAGGACTGACTGAATTGGGTCTTAGATGTGAGAAAGCATAGAGGTCAGCATTCAGAGCAGAGGTACTGTCTCCTGGTGGTGCACACGCCTACTTCTGAGACCCAACTTGTGCCCTTCAGGGTTTCCAGACCCCAACCCAGAACAGATAGGAAACCTGAGCTTATGCAGCCTGCCCATACATGGGTTTGTCTCTAAAACTAATGGGGAAAGCTAGAAAAATGGAAAGGATGGAAATCAGTGTGTGGGGATAATGTGGACATATTGCAAAGTGCACATAACAGTACAGTTTAACACCAGGGAGACAGTCTTGACCTTCTGAGACACGGCAGGGACTATTCCTGAGAAATTCAGTAGAATCTCTGGATCACCTCCTGTCCTTGGCTACTTCCTTCCCTAGCCGGTGCTTTGGGCCTATGTGCTATGGTTTCTTTTAGTTCTGCAAAGCTCAAAGAGGTCAGTTTTTAGTTTCTCTTTAAACGATATGGAAATGAAGACATGGTGATGTTAAATAACCATGCCATCGGAGTCACTTAAACCTGGATCCTGTTTCTTCATTTCTGCCTCTCTTTATGACATTGTTCCCACTATCCATATGCTCTCTCTTACAGACTTTCCTGATCTTTTCCTCCATTCTCACACTCAGGGAGAACTACCTGTAGCTGAAAATGATCCAAGGAGACAGATATGACCCTGTCCTCCGTGGAAGTCCATCTTCATATCCCTCATGATGGATGGAAAAATGCTCTGGCATTTGGAGAATGAGAATCCTTCAGCTTTGGTTTGAGAGTAAGTGAAAAATGAAGCCAGGAACATAAGGCCCCCGAAATATACAGTTTTGATACGAAAAAATGACCAACATTGTAATTTCTCCCAAGATGGAAGCTGACAGGCAGACAGTGGATCTGATCATTAACTATTGAGCTATGAAACGATCACTTTGGTTTGAAGTTTATTTTAGTTTTGGGTGTGTTTCTGTTTGTATGGGAGATTTCCAACACTATCATAGCATATAGCATTACATTGTGGTCAAACAGAGTTCTAAACTTGCCTAACTTTTATTTTTTTTACATTCAGAGGCAGGTGGTGGTAATGTGCTATCACTTCTGGAGGAAGGAAAGTAGACCATGAGCAAGGTGATAAAGGAGAGGCAGGTATGCTACAGACAAAGGTATTTGGGAAACGGAGAACGTTTCACAGGTCCAACTGTCATAGAAATGCAAAGTTCACAAAGAGAGCTTCTGAAGAGAGAAGGGCACTGCCTCAGGGAGCATGCTGGGCTGTTCTAGAAAGGTATGTGGGCTGCCAAGAGTTTTAGTTGAAACTACAGGAGTCGGTTCACATAAATAGAGTAACAGAGAAAAGTGTACCCAGTTCAGAGTGGCTACAGCGGACACCCTGAGAGAGAACCTGGATGCAGTGCAGGTGGCATGCGCTGTGCGGAGAGGAGGGATGTGCCAGGTGAGGACCAGGAAGCCCTTGAGAAGATGAGTCCATGAGCTCAAGATAGGAGCTTGAAGATTCCAAAGAAGGAGGAAGGGGAAAAGCAGGAAGGCAACAAAAATGAAGTATAGGAGGACAAAGAAGAAGAGGAGGGGAAGAGGAGGAGGAGGAAGAGCAGGATTTGACCCAGGAGAAACTAGACTTGCCTGCAGTCGGCCTGAAGATGCTCATGGTCCCCCACTCTGGCCTAGCAGTTAATCGTTCACCGGGCACGGTTCTCAGCCCTTGTGTTTTAATCTTAATAGTACCCGTGTGGCAGGTACAATTGTGGTCCCTCCTCTACAAATGAGAAAAGAGAAGCCCAGCCAGGGCTTGCATCCGGCAAATGCTTAACTACGTCTTGAGTCCAGGAAGCATCTCCTGGGTCCTTGGGCTGGAGCTCCATTCTCTGCCTCCATAAAGTCAGCATCTGTTAAGGACATCTCTACTCATCGTTGATGGAATTCTTTACAAAATAACCCATTACAATCCTCCTTCTTGGTGTTTTCACCTCCATTCATCTGTTGGCATTCCTCTGAACTGAGTTAAAGATTCAGTGAGCACTATGAATGGAGATGACAGAGATTCCAATACAGTCTTGAGAACTGCTTGCTGAGATTCAGTGGGTCTGACACTAGAAGCCAGATGTAGCCAGGAGTTTCTTGTCTGTGTCAGGAAAGGGTCTTGTGTTCACAGGCGACGGGGCAGTGCCTGGAAATGTAACGGCTACATTTGTGCTTTTCTTTCTTGTCCAGGAATCCTCCTGGAGGGCTGCTTGGCTCACCATTTGGCCCCACAAGGTATTGTCAGAGAAGAAAGAGAAGAATTCAGATTAGCATTCAAAACTAAAGGGCACAGATGCAGGTAGAAGCTGGGATATATTTGGAAGGGGGTTAGCAGAGGCAGGAAGTAATTTACCCTTCTCATGCAGAGCCTCTGAGCTGGAGTTGGGGAGCAGAGTGGGGAGAAAGGAAGAGGAATGACACAGTGAGCAGGCTGCCACCTAAGTCCTGGACTCTGCACACGTCCCTGCTTGGGGTGAGGGGCTGGTGAGCAAATGGTAGAGCGGAGAACCGTCTTCTTTCCTTCCACTCTGGCAGCGGCCAAGTGAGATTCAGCAAGGTTCTGGAGTGGGAAGCAGAGAGCAGGGACAGCACAGTGTGCTTTGCAGGCTGCCGAGGGTGCCTATGGCCCCAGCATAGCCCCAAGGGCTTTTGTGAGCTGCAGTGCACAAGTCCACTGTGGAATAGCAAAGGATGTGGAGCTGCAGAGAAGTTACCCCACCAGAAGGCAGGTGACACCATGGTGGAGGTGGAGAGCCACAAGGAGAGAGTCAGGAGCGGACCAGAGATGACCCCGTCACTGACCATCACACCCGTGTATGTTCTGGACAGGAGGCAGCATAGGGTCGATGTATCTCCAACTGAGAAATGGAACCAATTCATAATGTAGTTCTACCTCTCTGCAGGAATATCTTGGACAATCCCAAGTTGAACATCAATTATGGAGGTCAGGAGAGGGTGAGGGCTGGCACCATCCGTGCAGCCAGGCTCCATGCCAAGTTGAATTTGTCTAGAAATGACTCGATTGGTGTTCCCTCCCAACATTTTTTTTTTAACTAAAACCAGGCAAAGCTAGGACTGAGATGTAACCTGAAGTGTAAACCAAAGGCACTTGAATATGCGTTTGGGTCTAATACTTGCCTTCGTGGCACTGAAGGCTTGCTGATGAAGTAAAGTCAGGAACCTTTGAATCCTCTAAAGCCAGGCTGCTTTACTGGGTTTCCAGAAGCCTAGCTTTTAACAGTCTCAACCTAACTATAAACATAACCAATGACGATAATTTTTTTCAAAAGTTTTTCCCCTATATACAGTGTGGTTATCTGTTAAAGATTATTCATATTTTAAAGGATGTGTAATTTAAAAAGATTTCCTCCTCTTGGAATCCTAGTAATTGGCTAAATGGCTAAGGATAATGTTCTCCACTAAATGCAAAAAGTCTCTTCTGAGGCCAAACCCAGAATAATGCTAAAATTCTGAATCTGACTACTGATTTTATTGAAAGTAGAGTGCAAGTAAATGTTTTTCTGTTAGATGCCCGTCTTCCCACCGACATTGTGACATTAGCCATTCCCCTTTTTCCTTTAAACATGATGAAGAAAGGTTATATTTTAAAAACCTAACTCTTCCAAATATAATTTATAATTATAATTTAATTCTGAGGCATTTTAGGAACATGTCACACAGCCACCTTGTGTAACGTCCCATCTCACACAATGAGAAATAGATACAGTGAATGTGGTAACAAATGGGGTGAGATTCTGAATTTA